AGAACTATCTCGTTGCTTTCCGAACACCAATTTTCCGGTTCCCCGTTTCCTCAGCGCTATATGAGCGCGGGATCAGAGGTTTCTATTCTGCCTCATCTCACTGCAAGCTGCCAATGCACCCCAAGCAAACCCCAGGAGGTGGCGGGGGACGGTGCCCAGCGCCCGGCCTCTGGGCAAACACCTCAGCACTGTGACCCAGGGACCCCGTGCCCTCGAGCACCCTCGGACTGTGGACAGAAGGTCCGGGCCCTCCGGGGTCACTCACCTCTTGCATCCCGAGGCTTCCGTCCTGACCTGGCGCGCAGCTCGTTTGCAGTGCTCGGTCCGCCCCCGGCAGTTTCCTCGCCCAAGACCCCCGCCCGCTGGAGGCGCTGACGGCTCTTCTAGTCGAATCTTACTCCTCAACTGTAATTGACGAATCCCCGTGAAGACTACGAGAGCCGTGTTTGAGACTCTAGAAACGCGTGCAAGTAACTAGCGCACACGAGCTAAGCCACCTGGGCGCACGCACACACCCTTTAAGAGACAGCCAACACCAAAGGATCTGAACTATGTTGTTTAATCGTTTCTTCTTTGAGAAATTCCGAACAGATACGCATCAGCTTTGCAGAAGCTGATCCAAGTGTTCACCCTTTTGGGGTGAAAGCCAGCGGAGCGGCCGGGTGCGGGGGCTCACGCCTGTAATCCCAGCACTTTGGGAGGCCGAGGCGGGTGGATCACTAGAGGTCAGGAGTTCGAGAGCAGCCTGGTCAACATGGCGAACCCTTGTATACACTAAAAATACAAAAAATTAGCCGGGCGTGGTGGCATGTGCCTGTAATCCCAGCTACTGGGGCGGCTGAGGCGGGAGAATCACTTGAACCCGGGAGGCGCAGGTTGCGATGAGCGGAGATCGCACCACTGCACTCCAGCCTGGAAAACAGAATTAGACCCTGTCTCAAAAAAAAAAAAAAAAAAAAAAAAAAAAAGAGGAGCTGTTTTTGGTCCATTGATGTGTGTAGACAGAAGCTGAACCCTTTCCTATGGCAACCAAACTTGTACCCGATATTATTAATACATTCCTGATTTCACACACACAAAAAGTGTTTTGTTTGCTTGTTGGTGAGGAGGGAGGGGGATTTTTTTTTTTTTTTTCTTAAAGCAAATAGTTTTTTGTGTTTTTTTTTCTGCCTGTTTCCTTTAACCTGACAAGTATGTGTACCAATGGCTGGGCTGATTTGGGTAGGTGGCCCGTTTTTTGAACATGGTGGCAAAACTAAATTGGACTGGAGTTTCCCATTAAAAAAAAAAAATACCCCTCCAATCCAAACATTCTTTGCGTAAAAATCAACTTGTATTATAACTAGACCTATGAGTATTTCATTTCATAATATGTGCAGAAGATATTTGTCTACACCAAAGCAAAACATAAAATAACCAGAACCCCTGTTAGTCCAGGACTTGAACACATCTCTAGTCCGTTCAAAACAATGTTTATGTCAAAGCCTGCCATATCCATTTTCTGGCAAATTTAATGTAAATATTCTTACATTAATTTACTTATTTTAATCTAAACCAAGGAAATTCAAAGGCAAGTTCGTTTCCTTTTGAATTAATGGACTTTTACAGTATTAAACTAGTAATCAAGACAAGAACAGCTGTGAGTATAAACTATTGCGAATCAATACAAATAGAATACCAGGGCAAGAAAGAAATAAAGAATAATAAGAAGCAATAGACAAAATGCTACAATTTAAATGAATTTTATTTAAGAGAATATTTAAAAATTAGTTTTCATAATATTAGAAAAATTAATAATCTATTATTTTTAGGCTTTTGGGGAAAAACATGCTTCCAAAGTCTGTGGTGCAATGCGTTCAAATCTTTAAAAGAAATTAAAAATAACAGAACAGACAAAATACCTTTTATATGTTTATTTTTTACTTTGATTAGCTTCTTTTACTAACATGTTTTGCCCAGATATAATTTAAGGCAACTTGAAATGCACATTCTAATTCTTCTCAAACTAAATATGGTAGAGGCTCTATGACATTTCTTTGGATACCAGAATCCATTTAGAAATTAATTGATTTGCCTTTAACATCAAAAAGTTTTATTTATTTATGTTTTTGATGGGTCAGGTCTTTCTAGGAAATTCCAAAAGAACAGAGAAAAGAAATTATTCTAACACTGCAATAAGACCAGAAGTTAATGTCTATGCATTCTCAGAGGTAACTTTAAATCACTATTTTAAAGTTATTTTTAGAACACTTGAAACGATAAGTTATCTTAAACTTTTAAAAAACATTTAATGAAATAATATATTTTAAAATGGATGGTCAATAAATTTTCATGTAATTTCGTAAGACAAAACAACACGAAAAGCAACGTAATCACAGGAGTTTCAGGGACCTTTGGCAGTCAGTTAAGATGAAAATCTGTGAATGAAACTAGTGGGTGACGGGTAGACACATCTCTTTGTTCCCAACTAGACCTTAGTGGCGACCATTTGGGAGTGATTTTAATCAGAAACCCTGACTGACAGGACCTTTCAGGAGGGGAGAACTTCGGGAGAAAGGAGGCTGGGAATGAACAAATTACTTTCTTCTGCTAGGACCCTTCGCCTTTGCTTGGGAAGAGGACCCCAGCTTGAAGATACAGCAGGAAAAAGTCGGGAGGAACTGCTTTAAGCTGACCTTTCTCCCCAAAAGAGTTCGCTGGTCCGCTGCCATCCATTGGCAGGCTTCTCTGACCGACTGGGATACTTTTTTCTTCCTTTTTTTTTTTTTAGACAGGATCTCGTTCTGTCGCCCAGGCTGGAGTGCAATGGCGAGATCTCAGGTCACTGCAACCACTACCTCCTGGGTTCAAGAGATCCTCCCTCCTTACCCTCCATAGTAGCTGGGACTACAGGCACGCACCACCATGCCTGGTTAGTTGTTTGTTTTAATTTTGGAAGAGACAGGGTTTCGCCGTGCCTCCCAAAGTGCTGGGATTACAGGCGTGAGCCACCGCACCCCGCCGCAGGATCGAATTTTCTAAGCAAGCCTGACTGTGCCCTTGGCTGGGGAAGTAAAAGGACCGGGAGCGTGGACCACCCTTAGTTTCCTGAGGTTGTTTTGCTCTTCCTTTATCCGCCTTTTGCCAACCGAAGGCACTGATCCTGCATGAGACGCTGACAAGGGCGCCCTCCTGGACGAGTCCCGCGCAGCACCGGTCTGTGTTCCCAGCGCGTGTTCTGCGGTGCCAAGGTCTAGGGCGCGCCGCTCTCCAGGTCTAGAGGGTCATAGGTTTGGTTCATCCTCCTCTCTCAAGGGATCCGCCGCGAGGAGTTGGCTCCCCTTCTCTGTCTAGGGCTGGGAATGGAAGCATGCAGCTGCAAAACAAGGGCGCGGGGAATGCATACCAGAAGCCCTTCTTCCCTGGCCGCCCAGAATCCGGCCCTGGGATAGTCAAAAAGCGACTTTAGTCACTTCAGTCGATTTTTTTTTTTTTTTTTTTTTTTAACTGAGAGTCTCCCAGTGCCGGAGTGGCCCTGGGCGGGGCAACTGCTCAGCTGAAGAAGGTTTCTTTCGTCCGGGGGAATCTACCTTGTCCTGCGCACCCCTGCACCACCGCGATTCTCTAATCTAGTCCCCCAAAGCCTCCCAAGACTGTAATGGAGTAAATACAATTTTGTCGTGATATTTCCACGACTACATCAGTAAAGTTTTTGTTTTTTTTAAGAGTTGTGTTCAGGTGGTTGGCAACTGAGAGCTCGCGAAGCCACACCACTTTATTTAACAGATAAGGAAGCTGAAACCAAGAGGGAGCCAAGGCAGTGGAGAAAGCCAGGAGTTCTACGGGACTTTTCCCCTCTCCCCTTTCCTTCCTACCCCAGGCTCCCACCTACCCCGGGCTCATTACCCCCACCTCCTCCGGGTTCACTCTGTGGGACTCCGTTCCTGCAGGGCCAGGTCCCTCCGCAGTCCCCTGGAGCACGAGGGCGCCTGGGCCCGTGAGCACACACCGAGGCTTGGCGCCCACTAGCACGTCCCAAATCGACGAGCGAAGACTCCCGGACGCACAACAGTTAGGGGAAGAGCCAGCAGTGGAGGCCCAAAATGGGCTGACCCCTAACTAGGAGGGGTGGGCGCGATTACTCAGGCTAGGGCGCGCGGGGACAGCAGAGGGGCCCCGCAAGGTTCCCATGCTGTCCTGGAATCGAGTGCTGGCTCTCCGGGGACTTTGCTGGAAGCAGGAAAAGCCCCTGCTTCCAAAGCCTCCATCCCTTTCCGAAATCAGGGAAGCCGGATGCATTTAGAAAAAAAAAATAGGCCGCGCGCGGTGGCTCCTGCCTGTAATCCTAGCACTTTCGGAGGCCAAGGCCGGCGGATCACCTGAGGTCAGGAGTTCGAGACCAGCCTGGCCAGCATGGCGAAGCAAGGTGTCTACTAAAAATACAAAAATTAGTAGGGCGTGGTGGCCTGCGCTTGTAATACCAGGTACTCAGGAGGCTGAGATAGGAGAATCGCTTGAACCTAGGAAGCAGAGGTTGCAATGAACCAAGATCGCGCCATTGCATTCCAGCCCGAGCAACAGAGTGAGACTCTGTCTCAAAGAAAGAAAGAAAGAAAATAATAAGGTTTTTAACTTAAAGGATACATTCCAACTTGCCCTCTCCACCTCCACGCCAACATCCTTGCTTCAGTTTCCTTTTCTTCCGGGACTGAGCTTAACCTCCACCTCCGTTCCAGGCTCTGTCATGGAGGGGATGACCCGCCCCTGGAGCTTGAGTGCTAATAAGGTAGGAGAGACGGGGCGGAACCCCCCCCGCCCCCAACGAGGTGTAACTTTATAAAGGAGGGGGCAGCTGCCAAACGTCGATGCTGCCGTTCGGGTGGAGACCGTTCAGCACGGCGGCCGAGGACAGGGCCCCGCCCTGGTCCATAACCATTGTGCCCAGCTTCCAGATTTCTAAACAACCTCTCTCTCTTTCTCTCTCTCTGCCCCTCCCCTTCACACAAATACCCCGCTTTCATTTTTAAAGAGGAAAAAAAAAATCACCTGGCGCACCTCTCCTTTTTTCTTCTATTTTTCAGAAGCCTGGGCGGAAAGCGCGAGCGAGTCCGTCAGATGCCAGCGGCCGCGGTGCAGGAAGCGGTCGGCGTGTGCTCCTACGGGATGCAGCTCAGCTGGGACATCAACGATCCGCAGATGCCCCAGGTAAGCGAAGCGGGTGTGCGAGAGCACGCGGGGTGCTGTCCATCTGAAGGAGGGAGAATGGCATTCGAGTTCTTGCAAGGAGTCTGCAGACGGACCATACACACACAAGCAAAATTTCTGGGTTTCTGAACCCCCTTCAAACGTAGAAAGAGAATTGGACCCCACAAAAGGCTAAGTTGGGTTTAGAAATGTGTATTCTCCCAGCAGTTTCCTCGGGCTTGTCTGAAATTACATGGAAAGCGGCAGGAAATACTGATCACACTCCTCATTCCCAGTCTCGGAGGGAACAGGACACCTGTCCTTTCGCTTCGCTTTAGCCAAGGTAGAAATGAGGTGCCTCTCTTCGTATTCATTTGCTTTAAATCCACAAGGAAGCTAAGGAGAACATCTAAACAGATGTAAATACCACTGCTTCTCAGGCAGCAAAACTATGAGGTACGACTGTAAAGTGAATCTAATGACCCAAATTTAAAACAAACAGCCCGACTTGAGCAATTTGTTCAGACCTCCCTGACCACCAGGAGGAAGGAGGCCACACTGTCAAGCCAATGAGGCATCTGTACCCAAAACCTACTTCTCTAATGACAAACAAATCATCATTCTTTTGGGGTGAATTTGTTGCATTTTGTTTTATTTCAATAAAGCAAAAATAGTCTGGAGCTAAGTCCAAAGAATGAACTAGGGTGGATGCAGTGGTGAATGAAGAGATTTGCAACCAATTCCAGAGAGTGACCAGTTGTGCTTTGTCATACAGGTTTGGGCCAAAACTGAGTGACTTTGAAGTCCTAGCTGTGGGGGATGGTGGGTGTAGAATGAGAGTTGCTTCCCAACCATTTACAAATGTGGGATTCCAGCAATGTTGTGGCACAGGAATAAAAGAGACTTGCCAGTTTTTCAGCAACTAAGATGTACCTGATAGGTGTTCAGATGAACAGCAATTAATTGTAATATTGTGTAGCCTCTCAAAAGAGGTCAGTACTTTTTTGGATGCATACCTTTGTAGTAGGTTAGGTGTGTTTTACTCCTTTGTTTTAAAGTCTGCCTACTTTTTTTTTTTTTTTTTCTTTTTTCTGAGACAGAGTTTCACACTCTTGTTGCCCAGGATGGAGTGCAATGGTGCTCTCTCGGCTGACTGCAACCTCCAATTCCCAGGTTCAAGTGACTCTCCTGCCTCAGCCTCCCAAGTAGCTGGGATTGCAGGTGCATGCCACCATGCCCAGCTAATTTTTGGATTTTTAGTAGAGACAAGGTTTTACCATGTTGGTCAGGCTGGTCTGGAACTCCTGACCTCGTGATCCTCCTGCCTCAGCCTCCCAAAGTGCTGGGATTACAGGCGTGAGCCACCACGCCCAGCCAAAGTCTGCCTACTTTAGAGTCATGTGGTACCATTTTTGTGAAAGTGGGCCACAGTACAGCAAGAGCATCTCATTCTCACTGTTTCTGTCCATGTACATCTTCATAGGAAACCATCATATCTTGCACTTTAGAAAAGTCACATCCAAATAATGTAATTATGGCTCATCTCTCCAGCATTTGCTAGGCTTCCTATGTAAATATGAACTTTCTTTCAGGAGATTGGTTTTTAAGCAGGGAGTATGTGTGTAATATCTCAAAAGGGGCAGGCACATGGGGACATAGAAAGAGAAGTGGACAAATTTAGCATCGCCCTGCTCTGGCTAACTGACTGAGACAGCTAATCTAACTATATGCCCTTGAGAGAGTCCTTGAATTTGCCTTAGTCTCAGGCTACTCGCTTGTCATCAAGTGGTAGAGTGAGATAACTATCTCAAACTCTCCCCCAGCTCTACGATCAGGTTCAGTGTTTATGTGTGTGTGTGTGTACACACACACACATAACATGCCAACACTTTAGAACAAATGAAACCCAATCCTTGACATCCTCTCTTCTTGTACTGATTTTAAAAATACTGTCTCTGTGGCTTCACTGCCAGGGTCACTGCCTCTGCAGCTCGTGTAAGGCATGGAGACCTAGTCTACATATTAAGGGAGAGCTAAAGAAATGCTGTTTTCTGGAAAATTATCAACTTGTTACTAAGATCCTTAAGTTAAAATGTTCGCTTTCAAAACAAAGACATTAGCATTTAATATAAACTTGGAGTTGATAGTACATCATTATGTATTTCACTTGTAACTTACATTGATACATTAATTTATGTCCCTTGTAATATTTCAGAGAAAAGATAAATAATACCTAATGGTAACAACAATGATTTCAACAATATCTTTGTGATTTTTGGAAACAAAGTCACTCATTTACCTTACTACTGTTAGAATGTGCAGTATTAATGATGTATGCAAGTCTGAATTTTCCAACCGTGAATACTTCAGCTTTGCAAATGTTTGATGTAATTTTCCTGAGTGGCAGGAGTGGGGAGGAGATGCACATGGCTTACAACTATGATACACCCCTCTGAGTCTTTATCACACCAGCAAAGCTACTGGGTCGGGCTGCTACCCATCTTCTGTTTATATTCCAGCTATGCCACTGTGAAAGGTTATCTATTGAATCTCCATTTCTTTATTGAGTAAACAAGAGTAAAGATGTCCATTTTGCAAAAATGTTGTGAAAATTGTGTATATTGCATAATATGGCTTTGCAGATCCTACTATTTCTGTTCCAAATATTCAATTCTGCATTGTGGTGTGAAAGCAGCCCTAAACATTACATAAAAGAAAGTTCTCAGTGGCCAGGCACAGTGGCTCACGCCTGTAACCTCAGCACTTTGGGAGGTCAAGGCAGGTGGATCACGAGGCCTGGAGATTAAGACCATCCTGGCCAACGTGGTGAAACCCTGTCTCTACTAAAAATACAAAAATTAGCTGGGCGTGGTGGTGTGTGTCCCCAGCTATTTGGGAGACTGAGGCAGGAGAATCACTTGAACCTGGGAGGTGGAGGTTGCAGTGAGCTGAGATCATGCCACCGCACTCCAGCCTGAGCAACAGAGCAAGACTCCGTCCCCCCACCCCCCAAAAAAAGAAAGTGCCTAGTAAAGGGTGCTTTTTCAATTAAACTTATATGCAAAAGAGACATTGATTGCCATATAAATAATGCATTAAATTGACAAGACTACCAAATATGAATACTAAGGCAAAGCTCAGTATTTTAGATATAACTTATTATTTTGGCCATGTAGCTCTTTGTTGAGGAGAATGACAATCCCATATTGCTCTGGGGAGCAGTCCAGTGCCAGGCAAGCTCACCCACACCCCAAAGCTCATGGTTTAAGTCCATCATTGCAATACTCTTTTAAACTTGGAGAGCCAAGTTGAGAGTAGGGAGGGAAGCTGTTCCTTCCTCTCTGACATTACTCTGGGTGCCACTGCTAATGTGACTGACAGGTCTGGCATAAAGAGCCAATGCGCTTTTGAAGGAAATGCACTGACTTAAAGATATTTACCAGTGAAATTGCATTTCAGTGATAGAACATTCCAGTCACTTTTCCCACTAGCACTTTGATGCTTAACATGAAATGTTTTCAACATTTAAACACACCAAGAAGTGATATAACATAGTGGTAAGAAGTACAGGTTCTGGAATGGGACTGCCGGGGTACAAATCCTAGAGCCAGATCTTGCTAGCTGTGTGATGTGACCTTGGGCAAGTCGATGAACCTCTCTGACCTCCACGTCCTCGTCTGTAAAATGTAAATCATTGCCTGTAGTTTGAAGTCTAGATGAATTAATACATGTACAGCATTTAACAGATAAACACTATATAAACATTAATTATTACCTGGTTGCCGGTCTTACATAGGAAGAGTGGCATTTTGGGATTTCACATTGCTGGATTTAAAAAGAACCTTTTTCAATCCTAATGTGCTTGTAGAAATTTTAGAGCATGATGTGTGCCGTTTGGTCGATAAACTGACCACCCTTCCTTCTGCACCCTTCCAGGAGCTGGCCCTCTTCGACCAGTTCCGAGAGTGGCCTGACGGCTACGTGCGCTTCATCTACAGCAGCGATGAGAAGAAGGCACAGCGCCACCTGAGCGGCTGGGCCATGCGCAACACCAACAACCACAATGGCCTCATCCTCAAGAAGTCGTGCCTGGGCGTGGTGGTGTGTGCGCAGGCCTGCGCCCTGCCCGACGGTTCGCGCCTGCAGCTGCGGCCGGCCATCTGCGACAAGGCACGGCTGAAACAGCAGAGTGAGGACGCCGGGCCGGGGAGAGGGTTACGTTGGAGTCATAGGTTCCTTTTTTTTTGAGACGGAGTTTCGCTCTTGTTGCCCAGGCCGGAGTGCAATGGCTGATCTCAGCTCACTGCAACTTCTGACTCCGGGCTTTAAGTGATTCTCCTACCACAGCCTCCCATGTAGCCAAGATTACAGGCATGCGCCACCACGTCCAGCTAATTATATATTTTTAGCAAAGATGGGGTTTCTTCATATTGGTCACGCTGGTCTCGAACTCCTGACCTCAGGTGATCCACCCACCTCAGCTTCCCAAGGTGCTGGGATTGTACAGGTGTGAGCCACCGCGAAGGGCCACGAGCTCTTTAGTCCCAACTAATTTTCCCCTTCTTCCTTCAGAAGGGCCTGGGGTCAGGGTTAATATTTCTCCCTTCTGGGCTTTGCAGAGAAGGCATGCCCTAACTGTCATTCTGCTTTGGAATTGATTCCTTGTCGAGGGCACAGTGGATACCCTGTCACCAACTTTTGGCGGCTTGATGGCAACGCGATCTTTTTTCAGGTAGGTTAGGTGAGAATACCATTTGTGATGGATACTTTTCATGAGACCATAAAGGCCAGACCACCTGTCATGTGCCTTGGAAACCTTGGGCCAAACAAAATACAGCTCCAGTGGCCAGAAATAGGTGCGGGAGCCCCCGGGGCCCTAATGGGGAGACTAGGAATTAGCTCACTACTGTGAGCTCTTTAAGGTCCAGAGATGGTAAACCAAGTTGTAGTTATAGTTCTTTTAATAGGGTGAAAGGATTGCAATGATCTTTTAATATGTTAATTATTGATGCTGTTTTATTCAAGAATTTTTTTTTCTGTCATTTTGAAAGAAGCAAAACTAAAAACACTTGAGATCTTAGGAAAGGCATGATCAATTTTTGGGCTACATTGTCAGCTTCCTTTAGGGACACAAATGTATGATTTATTTTCTCCTTATCGCAGGCCAAGGGAGTTCACGATCACCCAAGACCAGAGAGCAAATCAGAGACGGAAGCTAGAAGAAGTGCCTTCAAGAGACAAATGGCCTCTTTCTACCAACCCCAGAAAAAGAGAATTCGAGAATTTGAGGTACTGGGAACTGAGAGGGGATGGTGGCCTCTGCTCATTTTCATCCCAAGATACACTGATAAGTATGTAAAATATGCAGGTCATACATTAATTACAAGGGTTTGATTTCATGTGAAAATTATATGTCTGTCACAAAATATCATCAAATCAACATCTGAATAGGGTTTCTGATCCCTTTTTCTCCTTAAAAGAAAAACCAACAATCTCTGCAGGCAGTGATACAGTCCTGATATGTCAGTGTGTTAACAACCTAATATAAGGACAATTATGCAACAGTAGTAAAGATGGAAATGCGTGCCTACCAACAGGAAGTTAGCAGTGTGTCCTTGAGAGGGTCCTTTCCGTTATTTTATCCACAAGAACAGATAACATTTCTCTGTGCAGTTTAATTCAGTTTGGCTTTTCAACCAAAGCATGCCAAGCAGGCAGAGTGTTAGTGTGAGGATAACAGAAACTGACAGTGCCTATGTTCCAGGCACTGGTCTGAGTTTCACACATTTGATGGTGGCAGAAACCCTATAACAAGTTTACTAAGTTCCATTTTATTTATTTACTTATTTATTTATTGAGACGGAGTCTCGCTCTGTCATCAGGCTGGAGTGCAGTGGCGCAATCTCAGCTCACTGCAACCTCTGACTCCCTGGTTCAAGCAATTCTCCTGCCTTAACCTCCTGAGTAGCTGGGATTATAGGTGCGCGCCACCACACCCAGCGAATTTTTGTATTTTAGTAGAGACGAGGTTTTACCATGTTAGTCAGGATGGTCTCAATCTCCTAACCTCATGATCCACCCACCTCAGCCTCCCAAAGTGCTGGGATTGAAGGCGTGAGCCGCTGCACCCGGCCATTAAGTTTCATTTTTAAGATGAAGAATCTGAGGCTCAGAGAGGTTAAATGGCTTGTTCAATTTGTGAGGGACAGAGTCAGCATTGAACCCAGGCCTGTGTGCCTCCTAAGTCTCTACTTTAGGAACACAGTGTGGGTGAGAACAGGACCATCTGCCACTCAGAAGCTTCCTACCTGGCTACCGTGGACCTTCCTCATTCTGTTGTGTGGTATTTATGCCTGAGTGAGCTCCAGTTTAGCAACCCCTGGACCACATGCTTAAATCACATACCTGAGCAGTGCAGTGTTCACAACACGGAGCCCAGCACATGGTCATCTGTTTTTACTTACTTGTTGGCTATTTTTACAGGTGAAGGTGCCCAAACAATTTACATAGCATGTATCTGTGTTTGTTTCATTTTTTAGGTAGAAGAAAATCAAGACAGCAGTGGTCTTGATTTCAGCAACATACCCTTGGAAAATCCAGAAGACTTTGATATAGTTACTGAAACCAGCTTTCCTATTCCAGGGCAGCCTTGCCCTTCCTTCCCAAACTCTGATGCTTACAAAGCTACCTGTGACCTAGCCACCTTTCAAGGAGACAAAATGCCACCCTTTCAGAAATATTCAAGCCCAAGAATCTATTTGCCTATGCCACCTTGCAGCTATGAATTGGCAAATCCTGCTTATACAAATTCGAGCCCATATCCCACCCTTTGTAAGGATTCCACCAGTATCCCTAATGACACAGACTGCATTCATCTGAACACACTACAATATAATGTCAATTCATACAGCAGCTACGAGAGAAGCTTTGATTTCACCAACAAACAGCATGTCTGGAAACCATCTCTTGGAAAACCCAGCCTTGTGGAGAGGACTGACCATGGGCAGTTTCAGGCTGTGGCCACTCGCCCTTATTATAATCCAGAGCTTCCCTGTCGGTACCTCACGACTCCGCCACCAGGTGCCCTACAAACCGTGATCACCACCACCACCAAAGTGTCCTACCAGGCCTACCAGCCCCCTGCTAGGAAATACAGTGATGCTGTGGGGGAGATTAAGAGCCTTTCAAGCTGTAGCTATGCTCCTGAAGATACCAGGATGTCGGTCGCGGTATATCCAGAAGCCTGGGGTCCTCCAGCGACAGTCACCAGGGCAGCCTCTGCTTCAGGGCCACTTCCTATGAAAACTGCAGGAGATTGCCGCACCATCAGACCCACTGTGGCTGTTCCCCACCAACCAGTTTCCTCTAGGACAGATGAAGCAGAGGCTTGGGATGCATGTGTGTCTGGGCTGGGCACTGCAATCAGTCACTCAGATAGATTAGGTCCCTTCTGTAGCTATAACAATGAGGATTTTTGAAAGGCAATTCAGGGGACAAAATAGCAATGTGCATGCAGGCAGGAGGCAGGGAAATGTGAACTGGCAGTGATCTCTTGTTGAGTTGGGAGACTCGCCTTGTGTGCAAAAACATACAGATAGTAGTAAAAATGCCGATTAGCTGAGAAAATAATCAGTTGGAAATGTTCAGGTCATATTGGGACATTTCACACAGCATTTTGAAACTGGCTACAATACATAGATGTAACTCAGGAAAGTGTGAGTCTCTCAAATGAACAAATAAGCAACTGGAGGAGGTTAAATACTGACCTAAGTTCACTTAGCTTATTAGTGGGAGTAGAGGTCTGGGATTCTGGTTCTTATTCTAAGCCTTTTCCCATTAGAGCACTTTAGGGAATTTTACATCCCTGGAGGCTGTCAAAATAGCTTCAGGAAGAAAGTTTTACAATCTTCTTTTTTTTTTTTTTTTTTTTTTTTTTTTGAGACGGAGTTTCGCTCTTGTTACCCAGGCTGGAGTGCAATGGCGCGATCTCGGCTCACCGCAACCTCCGCCTCCTGGGTTCAAGCAATTCTCCTGCCTCAGCCTCCTGAGTAGCTGGGATTACAGGCACACACCACCATGCCCAGCTAATTTTTTGTAGCTTTAGTAGAGACGGGGTTTCACCATGTTGACCAGGATGGTCTCGATCTCTTGACCTTGTGATCCACCCGCCTCGGCCTCCCAAAGTGCTGGGATTACAGGCTTGAGCCACCGCGCCCGGCCAAGTTTTACAATCTTCTGAGTCATCTCATGACATTTTTGTTTAGCATTTAGAACCCGTAAAAATAGCTCAGGAAGTAATTTATCTCCAACTTATGTATCTACAGCTTTTCAAAAAATCTCTAGCAATGGTAAAGTTCAATTGTTCTTAAAAGATTCAATATTAGCTGAATGCCTTTTCATAACATGATCGTCTCCATAACAGAGACAGCCTAACAATGATGAGTTGTATTTAATGAATTATCATTGTTCCAAACACATTTTTTTCTGATTAGGTTTCAGAATTAGAATTAAAATGTTTTGCAAAAATACAGCTTTACTGTTCCTCTGTTATTCTTCATAAAGGTAATTAATAATGTTCAATAATTAATAACATTGTTCAATTAAATGTAATAAGGACATTTTAAAGTAATGAAGCTAATTCTTGACTTACTTCAAAACAAAAATAGGAAAAAAATTGCTCATATTATGACCTAGGAAACAGTTGTTATGAAACATTAAAACTTATTAAATGCACCAAGAGAGGTGGCTCGTGCCTGTAATCCCAACACTCTGGGAGGCTGAGGCAGGAGGATTGCTTGAGTCCAGGAGTCCAAGACCAGTCTGGGCAACAGAGAGAGTCCCCATCTCTGCGTGACAGAGAGAGACCCCGGGGGCATAGCAGTGTGCCTGTAGTTCCAGCTACTTGGGAAGCTGAGGCGGGAGGATGCTTTAAACTCAGGAGGTCAAGGCTGCATCAGCCATCTTTGTGCTCCTGCACTCCAGCTTGGGCAGCAGAGCAAGACCCTGTCTCAAAAAAAAAAAAAAAAAAAAAAGTATTAAATAGTTTGACTGTTTTGTAGTTTATTTGCAAAATATCTGTTGTTACACTCCATCATAACAGAAAGAGACTTTTCAAAACTTTTGAAGTGTACACACACATACTTTTGCACTGCTCCCAATATTCACTAATATTTAGTGAAAAATATTCTGTTTTCAAATAAACTACACAAGCAATATATTTTTGAGGGGGTTGCCTAGAAGTATCCTCAAATTTGCATAGAATAATCAATTTGTATAGCTAAATTGTAGTAAGTCAGACGCCATTTTAAATCATTGGGCATTCTATATTGTCCAGTTAATTCAGAGAAGTTTAATACCCCAACATAATAAATGCATGTAGTACTTACCAAAAGATTAAGTAGGTATGAGTACACTCCTATGAGTTTCTAACAAACCAATTTTTTTCAAAGGGAAAGATGCTTAGTACACTCATTGGTTACTTTTTTCTTTGGACTTCCATTGCCAAAGCTCACAAGCTATAATAATATCTTAACATTTATATAGCACTTACTAGCCAAACACAGTGGCTCATGCCTGTAATCCTAGCACTTTGGGAGGCTGAGGCAGGTGGATTGCTTGAGCCAGGAGTTAAGAGACCAGCCTGGGCAACATGGCAAGACCCCATCTCTACCAAAAAAATACAAAAATTAGCCGGATGTGGTGGCACACGCCTGTAAGTCCCAGCTACTTAGAAAATTGAGGTGGAAGGATGGCTTAAGCCCAGGAGGATCAATATGCCAGCTCTGGACAATTTTCCTACAAATCCTGCCAGGTAATAAAAGTAAATAGGGTGCCCATAAAAAAATGTAAGTTGGAGGTAGCATTGGGGGACCTTACTTATGATTTAGGTGTGGGATAGCAAGGAATAAGGAAAAATAAAGAACTACTCTTAGTTCCTGGCTTCAACAAACCGAGTAACTGGTGGTACCACTCTGAAGTATTGGCAGCTGAAAAAAGAACAGTTGTGGTCCCTTAATGCCTGCGAGTCATCGAAGCTATCAGATGCATATAACGCTGGAGCTCTGCGGAGGGTCTGAGATACAGATACATATCAGGAAATCATAAGCATAAAGATGCTTTTTAAAGCCAATAGTAGCTCACCTAGTAAGATAATCTAGAGCTGTACTGTCCAATATGGTAACCACTGGCCATATGTGCTAATATAAATTAATTATAATTAAATAAAAGTTAGCCAGGCACAGTGGCTCATGTCTGTAATCTCAGCACTTTGGGAAGCCAAGGTGGGTAGATCACTTGAAGTCAGGAGTTCAAGACCTGCCTGGTCAACATGGTGAAACTCATTCTGTACAAAAAATACAAAAATTAGCCAGGTGTGATTGTGCATGCCTGTAATCCCAGACACCCCAAGGTTGAAGCAGGAGGATCTCTTGAACCAAGGAGGCAGAGGTTGCAGTGAGCCAAGATGGCGTCACTGCATTCCAGCCTGGGGTGACAGAGCAAGACTCTCATAAAAAAATTTAAAAATTAAATAAAATTTAAAATTCCATCCCTCAGTCACACTAGCCACATTTCAAGTGCTTGGTCGCCACTGTAGCTAGTGGCTACTGCATTGGATGGTGCAGAGAGAAGACATTTCCATCCTCATAAGAGAGTTCTATTGGACAGTGTTGTATAGAGGAGGACCGGGGACCTTGTGTGAAGCCATGAGGAGTTCCCAATTTGGAGTTAGAGGAGAAGGATCTGACAGACGAGATGAGAATTAATGGCCAGATAAGTAGAAAACCAGGACAGAGAAGGGGGTCACAGAAGCCAGAGCCAAACTCTTTCAAGAGAGAAGGAGGTCAGCATTGCAGAATGTGGCTGAGATGTTAACATGAGTACAGAAAAGTGTCCACTGCGTGTGGCAACAAGGAACGCGCTGGTGACCAGAAGACACCTGTTTCTATAGGGTGATGGGGCTCTGTGAGGCAGCCTGGAATGGGCCGTAGGCCAAGGGGAAACAGAGAGCTGGAGGCAGCATGTGTGCTCTCTGGATAATGGAAGGTTGATTTCCAAGTGTGAATAAAAGTCTACATGCTTGATTAAAAGCTGTATTCAGAGCTTCAAATTTCTTTCAGTGAAATTTGCCTTGGTGATAGGGTTGCCAGAGCTAGCAAACACAAATACAGGCCACTCAATTAAATTTGAATTTTGGATAAGCAATGAGTAATTTTTGAGTATAAGCACAGTCATTCATCACTTATCAATGGGAATATGTTCTAAGAAATGTGTCCTTAGGTGACCGTCCTTGTGGAGAAATCAGATTGTATTTACACAAACCTAGATGGTAGAGCCCACGATACACTTGAGCTAACATGGTAGAACCTATGGCTCCTAGGCCACAAACCTGGACATCGTAGTACTGTACTGAACACTGCAGGCAATTACAACACAATGGTACTTGTGTATCTAAACCTATCTCAATGTAGAAAAGGTTCAGTGAGAATAGCACACTTACCGTGAATAGAGCTTGCAGGACTGGAAGTTGTTCTGGGTGAGTGAGTCGGTGGTGAGTGAATGTGAAGGCCCAGGACCTTGCTGTACACTATAGACTGTATAAACACTGCACACTTAGGATACACTACATTTATTCAAAATTTCTTTCTTTAATAATAAATTAGCCTTAGCTTACTATAACATTTTTACTTTATAAAACTTTTTAATTTTAAAAAGCTTATATATAAATACATATATATATTTTAAATTTATTAAGTTCCGGGATACATGTGCAGAATGTACAGGTTTGTTACATAGGTATACATGTGCCCTGGTGATTTGTTGCACCTATCAACCCATCATCTAGATTTTTTTTTTTTTTCTGAGATGGAGTCTCGCTCTGTTGCCCAGGCTGGAGTGCAATAGCACAATCTCGGCTCACTGCAACCGCCGCCTCTTGGGGTTCAAGTGAGTCTCCTGCTTCAGCCTCCCGAGTAGCTGGGGCTACAGGCATGCACCACCAAGCCTGGCTAATTTTGTATTTTTAGTAGAGACAGGGTTTCACCATTTTGGTCAGGCTGGTCTCAAACTCCTGACCTCATGATCTACCTGCCTCAGCTTCCCAAACTGCTGGGATTACAGGCGTGAGCCCCCGCACCTGGCCTCATCTAGGTTTTAAGCCTCATATGCATTAGATATTCATCCTAATGCTGTCCTTCCCCTTGCCTGCCACCTACCAATAGGCTCTGGTGTGTGTTGTTTCCCCCCTCCTCCCTGTGTCCATGTGTTCTTATTGTTCAACTCTCACTTATAAGTGAAAACATGCAGTGTTTGGTTTTCTGTTCTTGTGTTAGTTTGCTGAGAATGATGGCTTCCAGCTTCATCCATGTCCCTGCAAAGGACATGATCTCATTCCTTTTTTATGGCTGCATAGTATTCCACGGTTTATGTGTGTCATATTTTCTTTATCCAGTCTATCACTGATGGGCATTTGAGTGGGTTCCAAGTTCTTGCTATTGTGAATAGCGCTGCAATAAACATATGTGTGCATGTGTCTTTAGAGTAGAATGAATTCTTAAAAAACTTTTTTACTCTTGTAATAGCTTAAAACACAAACACATTTTTTCCTTATTTATATTTCTTTCCTTCTATAAGTTTTTTTTCTATTCTTAATATTTTATTTTTTGCTTTTTAAACTTTTTTGTTGTTAAGAACTAAGACACAAACACGTACATTAGCCTAGGCCTACACAGGGTCAGCATCATCAGCATCACTGCCTTCCACCTCCACATCTTCTCTCTCTTGGTCTGGATGGTCTGCAGGTGCAATAACATGCACAGAGCTGTCATCTCCTATGGTACCAATGCCTTCTTCTGGAATCCCTCCTGAAGAACCTACCTGAGCCTATTTTACAGTTAACTTTTATTTATAAGTAGAAGGAACACAGTGTAAAATACAGATAAAAAATATAGTAAACTCATAAACCAGTAACATAGTGGTTTATTATCAAGTATTATATGTTGTACATAACTATGTATGCTAGACTTTTATATGACTGCAATGCAGTATAGGTTGATTGACACCAGCATCACTATAAATGTGTAAATAATACATTTCACTATGATGTTATGATGGCTATGACGTCAGGCAATAGGAATTTTTCAGCTCTATTATAATCTTATGGGACTCTATTTTATGTGCAGTTCATAGTTGACTGAAATGTCATTATGTAGTGCCTGAGTTATATCTCAAATAGTGCATGGACATAACAAACATTATTCATCATTTTTCTTAAATTCAAAGTTAGGTGTTCTGTATTTTACCTAGTACTCTATTTAATGTGAATTTATAATTTCATTTGTGTCAAAATGTACTAAATGGCATTTGAATAAACTAAAAAACTAAAAATGCATTTACATAAAAACAATTCGGGTGCTGAACACTTATGAGGAAATAACACTTAACTGCATATTCTAGTGGGAGAAAACATATTTTATTATCCTTTCAAGTATACACACGAAAGATAAACATACAAGATTTTAAAAAGCCAAAAACCACCCTTCGACATTTTCATTTACAAACCACACTATTGGCCGACAGTCATCCTACTTATTCATCTTTCCATTCTACTCGGGTGAAATAAAGCAAGAGTGTCCTTTGAATGTTACATTAGTAATGTATTTTCCATTCATCAGCCCATTAGAGTTGGGTTTTCTGATCCTCTCTCAGGCAGCTGAGCTACCCACATAGCATTGTGTTATGGTTTGAATGATGAATCTTTTCAAGCATGAGGCATGTCAGGGTTGTGGCCGTAGGGGAGAAGAGAAAGGAGAAGCCCTCTCCAGCTGCAGCCACCTGTGGCTCCTCAGACAGATGTAGCAGAAGGGCACTACTGAGTAAAAACGCCAGCCATCTGCACCTGCGGAAAGTAAGAGAATTCTTTTCCAATGCTTCTTAAGGGCGAGGTTTTAAAAACCCTGCTTGGAAACGTCTTCTGATTGAAGATGGCCTATTTATTAGACTGCAGTGCCGATCCAGGTTTCCATAACCACCTGAATTCTTTCTCTTAACCACTTTAAGCACTATGCTTTTAAAGATCCTTTCTGGCTATTGCCAAGATGTAGGAATAAAACTGCTTAATTCAAGCGTGCCCAGAATGGTGACACCAGAATGGATGTTATCTGCTCCAGTCTTCTGTTACCAGGATTGAGTGCCCTGTGGGCTTTTAAACACATGCACGTACATTTCTTCATTGGGTGCTACTGTCCTCTGCAGGAATGCTGCTATCCTCATGGAACACCAAAAAGAGCTTTCAGAATAAAGGTACAACTGTATGTTCAGTTTTGTGATTAAAAAAAAAAAAACTGGCCAGTCGTGGTGGCTCACGCCTGTAATCCCAGCACTTTGGGAGGTCGAGGCACATGGATCACGAGGTCAGGTGTTTGAGACCAGCCTGGCCAATAGGGTGAAACCCCGTCTCTACTAAAAGTACAAAAATTAGGCCGGGCGCGGTGGCTCACGCCTGTAATCCCAGCACTTTGGGAGGCCGAGGCGGGTGGATCACGAGGTCAAGAGATCGAGACCATCCTAGTCAACACGGTGAAACCCCGTCTCTACTAAAAATACAAAAAATGAGCTGGGCATGGTGGCGTGTGCCTGTAATCCCAGCTACTCAGGAGGCTGAGGCAGGAGAATTGCCTGAACCCAGGAGGCGGAGATTGCGGTGAGCCAAGATCGCGCCATTGCACTCCAGCCTGGGTAACAAGAGCGAAACTCCGTCTCAAAAAAAAAAAAAAAAAAAAAAAAAAATACAAAAATTAGCCAGGCGTGGTGCTGGGTGCTTGTAATCCCAGCTACTCCAGAGGCTGAGGCAGGAGAATCGCTCGAACCTGGGAGGCGGAGCTTGCAGTCAGCCAAGATCTCGCCATTGCACTACAGCCTGGGCAACAAGGTAAGACTCCATCTCAAACAAAAAAAAAAAAAAAAAAGTTTACCTCAGAGACTATATCTGCAAAGATTATTTGAAAAAAAATCTTATGATATAATCAACAGAATATATGCATTCACCTATTAGATGCTAAATGCTATGAGAATTACAGAGAAGCGTAAAATGAGGTCTCTGCTTTCATGAAATTTGTAGTAAGAAAAAACCAGGCCGGGCGCGGTGGCTCACGCCTGTAATCCCAGCACTTTGGGAGGCCTAGGTGGGTGAATCACGAGGTCAAAAGATCAAGACCATCCTGGTCAACATGGTGAAACCTCGTCTCTACTAAAAATACAAAAAAATTAGCTGGGCATGGTGGCACGTGCCTGTAATCTCAGCTACTCAGGAGGCTGAGGCAGGAGAATTGCCTGAACCCAGGAGGCGGAGGTTGCGGTGAGCCGAGATCGCGCCATTGCACTCCAGCCTGGGTAACAAGAGCGAAACTCCGTCTCAAAAAAAAAAAAAAAAGAAAAAAGAAAAAAGAAAAAACCAGCCTGGCACCATGAGGCATAGCTGTAGTCCCAGCTCCTCGGGAGGCTGAGGCAGGAGGATGGCTTGAGGCTGCAGTGTATGCGCCATGATCGTGCCTGTGAATGGTCACTGCACTCCAGCCTGGGAGACATAGCAATACCCTGCCTCTAAAAAAAATTTCAAAAGAAATTTGTAGTAAACAAGAGAAATGTGACATGCCAAATAACAGGTTAAATAGCAGGGCAAGGCAGTACATTATTGCATGCATTATAATATTTTATACAGGAAAGCATAACGATATTTCAAGAATTTTTACTTGCTAATTTTATGGTTGTTGGAGACTTTAAAATTGTGAAGGCTGAACTTGTCTCTGCAGGTGGAAGAGCTGCACAGAGGGACCGTCTCCAAGGAAAGAATGAAGTGGGGAAGGCAAAATAGCCCAGCTGCAGAGGCAGAGGGGAAGATGGGCAACACTCTTCATGAATATTTTCTTCATCTTGAAGCTTTTCTTATTAAAATATTTTCCTTATTAGTATTTTCTTATCCAGATGTTCTTCAAAAACTTTTCATGTACACATTCCTCAAATCTCAAATTAGTTTGTAAGTAATGTGTTCATAAAATCTTCTTTATGAAATTTGTTCATATTCTTTATGAAACATCTTTATGAATATTCAACAACAATCTTTATGAATATACTCATAAGAATAATGTAATTGAATGAAAAGAACACTGTTCCTATTTGTAAAGAAGCTATTTTTGAAGTGATAGATGTTGAATATGTTCAGGCACATAATAAACTTATCAATGATCCCATATGCAAACAAATCTGAAAACCTACAATGTTCTCCTTCTAAACCCTGACAATAAAGTGATGGACAACATAAGCATGGTTCTGGCCCTCATGGGGCTTACATTCTTTGTGAGGAATAATTTTTTTTTTTTTTTTGAGACAGAGTCTTGGTCTGTCCCTCAGGCTGGAGTGCAGTGGCACAACCTCGGCTCACTGCAACCTCTGCCTCCCGGGTTCGAGCGATTCTTCTCATGCCTCAGCCTCCTGAGTAGCTGGGATTATAGACACCCGCCACCACACTCAGCTAGTTTTTGCATTTTTAGTAGAGACAGGGTTCCGTCATGTTGTCCAGGCTGGCTTGAACTCCTGACCTCAGGTGATCTGCCTGCCTCGGCCTCTCAGTGTGTTGGGATTATAGGTGTTAGCCATGGCATCCAGCCCAGAATGTTTTCAAAAAAGGGAAAAGTGTTGTGTGTATTCCTACAACTAAGAAGTATTAATGAAGAATGTTGTCACATGCCCTTTGTCTCTACCACTCAGTGTTCCCCATCTTTCCCCCAGCAAAAAGTCTTCTTTCTGCCCAATTAACTGTATCACAGTAGCAGAAAGTTAAGGTGGAGATTAATCAAATATTTCTCGAGAGGCTATTATGAACATAAAATAAAAACTGGCCTATCCAAGTTTTGTAGAAATCCCCAAAACTTAAAGAAAAACAAACCTATATCCATCATCCAATCCCAGTTAACAGCAATTGCTGGAAACATTATAAAATTTTTTTTTAATTTAGAGACCTGGCTTGGGAAATGGCTTCCAAAGAACATCCTTCATAAGGAATTTGCTCTCAACCATTCTGTTCTCATGCACTGACATCCAGTGGGTACCACATGACAGCTGAGATACTTGAGACTTTATGTTTCAAAAAAGAGAAGGGGGGTAAAGAGTGAGAGAACACTAAATACTGCCAGGGTCAAATGTGGATGCAGAGGAGGGCCCTCCACCAGCCTGTGTTATGCTGCCCTAGGAGGGATCTCAGGGCCACCTGTGCTCCAATGTCTTACACAGTTGTAGTAAATGGCTCTCCTCTATTATCACTTCCAGGTGAACCAGGGGGAGACTGGAGCACCTTGTAGTGCAAGAAAGTAAGGGCTTCAAGCAGGAACAATAAAAACAGTTGTGAAGGCAGACGATCCAAAATGGCTGAATAGGAACAGTTCTGGGGTGCAGTTCCCAACAAGAACGCAGGCGTGAGTGATCACTGCATTTCCAAATGAATTTTTACTGCCCACAGACGAGGAGATTCTCAGGTGGAAAAGCACCACGAGTCTCCAGCATAGCTGTTTCAGCTGGCGCAGCGGGTCTCCACACAAAAACTCGCACAGATCTGGGTGCCCTTTGAACTGGAGCCTGGTATGCCTGGGAGACAGATTCGCCCATTCAACTGAAAAAAAGGGGGCTGAAACATGGAGCCAGGATCTGGCTCAGTGGGTCCCACCCCCACGAAGAACAGCAATCTGAAAGACTCTGTGAAAGCAGAGTCTTTCACAGCAAGCACAACTGGACCCGGACAGTCCAGCTCTGTGGGGGGAAGGGTGTTTGCCATTACCGAGGGAGTCTGCCACTACCAAGGCAGTCCGCCACTACTGAGGCAGTCCACCATTACCAAGGGAGTCTGCCATTATAGAGACAGTTCACCATTACTGAGGCAGACCGCCATTACCGAGGCAGTTCTAACTATACCTCTCTAAACAAAACCACAAGGAAGTTCACACAGCAGCTGGACAGAGCCCACGGCAGCTCAGCAACGCCTCTACTGGCAGACTGTGACTAGGCTACCTCCTCGCTGGGCAGGGCATCTCTGAAAAAAGGCAGTAGCACGTCAGGAACTTATAAATAAAGCCCCACTTTCCCAGGACAGAGCACCGGGGAAAAAAAGGAAGTTATGAGTTCCGCTGCAGCAGACTTAAACGTAACCTGCCCAACAGCTCTGAATGGAACAACAGAGCTCACAGCTCAGCACTTGAGCTCCATAAGGGACAGACAGTCTCCTCAAGCAGCTCCCCAACCCCCGTATATCCAAAGAGACACCTCATAAAGGAGAGCACAGGCTGACATCTTGCGGGTATCCTTCTGGGACAAAGATAACAGAAGAAGAAACTGGCAGCAACCCTTAGTATTCTGCAGCTGCTGCAGGTGATCCCTAGGCAAGCAGGGTCTGGAGTGGGCCTCCAGCAGTCCTACAGCAGAGGAGCCTAACTGTTAGAAGGAAAACTAAAAAACAGAAAGAAATAACTTCATCATCAACACAAAGGATGTCCACTCAGAGACCCCATCTGAAAGTCACCAACCACGAAGACCACAGGTAGATAAATCCACAAAGATGGGAAGAAACCAGTGCAAAAAGGATGAAAACACTCAAAACCAGAACACCTCTCCTCCTCCAAGGGATCACAACTCCTCACCAGCAAGGGAACAAGGCTGGATGGAGAATGAGTCTGATGAATTGACAGAAACAGGCTTCAGAAGGTAGGTAATAAGAAACTTCTCTGAGCTAAAAGAACGTGTTCTAACCCAATGCAAAGAAACTAAGAACCTTGAAAAAAGGTTTGACAAAATGCTAACTAGAATAAACAGCTTAGAGAAGAATATAAATGAATTCATTGAGCTGAAAAACAC